TATTAAAACTAATTACAGATATGATTAAATTTTGAAACTTGGACTGTATTATAAATTTACTCAGAACCATGTATTTCCCCATTTTCTTTCCTTTCTATAATGCCTGGTTGAGTAGGTACTGTTTGGGTGAGAGGCCATATAGCTACAGTGTGACTCATCAAAATAAGATTTCTTAGTAGGTGGTGAAAATGAGCTCTGAGTACCATGTAGCTGAGACCTAAATGTCTTGCGGAGTTGCACGTAATGATGGTGGTTACTGACTATTGGACTAGCTCTCAGGATGGTTTCCAGGGTATTTCCAATACCCATATTGTGATTATGACTTCAAAATTTTAAGCTAATAAACCGAAAAAATATCTGGTCAGGGCAGTTATTGGCTACTCCTTTTGTGTAAGAATGTAGCTATGTCAAGTCTTGTGATTTGTTTGCGAGAGTGCATGTGTAGCCAGTTGTAGTTTACATTGGAGAGTTGGGTGCGTTGGTACTGATGGCAGTATTTGTAAATTCATTTTGAGTTGGGCTTCTACCCTGAAACACACTGTGCATATGTCTTACATGTTTATATTTTTTGTTTATATGTAGGATTTGTTTGCCCAGGAGAGCAGTATAGTTGTCAGTACTTTAGGGCTGCATTAGCTAAGTGCTTTAGAACCACAGTTTATTAGTAAGCAGGTGCATCCAAAAGCCCATCAAAATCATCATTTACTTCTCATCCATCTACATTCAAAAACTCAACACATTCCACATAGCCATGGCTTCACAAGTTCTCTCCTGGTTGCCAGATAAGCCAGTAGAGGAAGTAGCTGCACTCTGCTTTCCTGCTGGAGTTTATGGGCTTTCCACATCCATCAAATAAACCATAATCAGAACAATTTCAGTAGTGTTTCTTCACTATTCCAAATAATTTTGACGGAAGTGTGTTATCAGGCTGTTGCACAAGTGAAGGGGCTGGCAGCTGGGGATGGGCAGAGGAGCAGCTAGGGTTGACAGTTGAAAGAAGACAATTGGCATTAGCTAGCACTTTGGATGTTTTAATTTCAAGTTGCTGCCCGATTAAGTAATTTAAAAATAAATTCTAAAATAAATACATTACTTTCATTTTAGTTTACTTTTAGTTTAATAAGCTGTAGGATGTTTAAAGCTTATGTGTGCAATGCTGCACTTCTGTGGTGATCAGGGAATTTCTTTAAACCCCATCTTTCATGAGGGTAAAAAAAAATTCATCCAATCCAATTATTTTGGTACAAGGAAGCTTTGAAAGTATAAGTCTTTATTGTGACAGTAAATAAACCATGGTAAGCCAAATAATAAATTTTCAATGTTACAGGAACAGTTAGAATAGTAGTATGTGAGAAATGTGTGTGCTGCTGGTATGTCTTTAAATATTAATTGTAATCTATTTGTCTTTTCTTTTTATGTAGTCAGCTGCATTCATTTACATATTCCCTCTCAGCATTTTGAAATAGTGACTCAGCTCAACAACCAGTTGTTCAGAATGATCAGACTTGACACCCCGTCCATTCTAATGCAATGCCAAAATCCATTCTTGTGCTTCATTAAGAGAAAATGCCTTGGGTTTTTGTCTGTGTAGTACTGTGGATATAGAGATGTAGTGTTTTGCAATTAATACACAAGTTATGATAATGTATTGAGCTTATGTGTGTTGATTTTGCTGTCACTGGTATTATAGGAAGACTGCATCTGACTGAAATGAGACATTTTATTTCTGTCATATATCAAAAGTCTTCAGACAATGATATAAAACAGTGCATAAGATGGAAGGGAAAGACCCTATCCCAATGCTAGTTGTTCTTACTTAAAGAAAATAGAAGATTTTTTAAATTTTTACTTTGTTTTAGAGGTTATGTAAATTTAAAAGGAAACTTGCAGCATTTTTAGTGATTTTAAAATATCTTGAAGGCAACTTTTGTTGCTGCTGCTGGCAGAGCTTTCAGTTTGATTTTCAGAAACATGTTTAATCCCCCTGAATAGCAGAACACGTTTAATCCCTGTTGATAGCAGAACACAAAATTATATACCTTCATTAGGTAACAGGAAGTGTAATTGTCTGCAGAACTATCAGTAGCAGAAGATACCTGTTCCTTTGCTTCAGAATAACAGTGCAAAACTTAATTTAAATCTGAATTCCAGCACACCTAATTTTTCAGCAGAAGTCTCTTTTAAAATGAAATGTGAAGAAACTCCAAAAAAGTGAAAAAACCCCAAAAAGCAGAACAAACATAAACAAAAAACCCAACAAACAAAGGGGAAAAAAATCAATGAAAACTACAAAACATAGGAACTACAAATCAAAATTAAAACCATTTTTCTGTCTAGGAAGAATTTCATTTACAATTTGCTGTATGGTCACAGCATTAAAACAGCAATGATAAAAGACTTCAAGCTGTACAACAAAGACTTGGGATATTTTAATTTAAATAAATTGATACAATAATACATTCATTTATTAAGTTTTAAGTTAGAATAAAAGTGGTAGCGGCTAAATATTACTGGAAAACAAAAAAAAAAACTGCAGGATGTATTCTAAATGGATTTTGTTAGCCCATAGATACTGATTATGATTGTCAAAAAGATTTTCTTGTTACGGGTTTTTGTGCATCTTCTGATTTTATTTTTTTTTTCTGTGAGATACTTCTGGTTTTGACACTAATTTCTTGATTCTGGGTTTGAGCGTGTAATTCATGACAGTTCTTAGAGAGCCCACCCAACACTCTTTAATCTCTTAAGTGAAGAAATCCAGGGAATTAAGTAAGACTCCATAAGGATACATAAGGACTCCTCTGTGGACTGTATAGGCTCTGTAGGGGGCTACAGGTGAAAGGAGTGAAAAGGCAGTGTTCTGAGTTTGGCTACTGAGTGAGCAGAACATGAGCATAAAGGATGAGGACAGGGAAAAGGTAAGTATTTTTTAAGGTTAAAGTAATGTTTCTGGAAGTTCCAAAAACCAAAAAACCCCACAAAACATCATCTGCTCATTTATTGATTTTTAGAAACACAAATGAGATGTAACAATTTAATAGTATTTTTGCTTGATCACATTTCTAAAATCAGCCATATGTGCCTTACCCCAGGTATTTTAGTAAAACGTCCACTGTGCAGAGATGAAGTAACTAGGCTCACCTTGGAGACCACAACTAAAGCTTGCCAAAGGAATGCACCAAGGCATTTGTGTAAATTGGCTGCCTGCCAATTTGTTCAGTTAAAATTCTCTTGCTCTTAAGAATATTACTGTAGCATGTAATGACTGGTAATGCTTTTTTATCGCCTTCCAAAATTTCATCACAAAATAAATCAAATTCTTATGTGGGTGGGAAGGAATAAGAATCTTACTTGGGGTCTGTCACTTTCTTATGGTTATGGATGTCATTCACTTTTGTTTTTTTCCTTTTCCACTAAGAAATTGATGATGAGCTTGTTCCTGCTGCTTTTTGTGTAAAAAACCCAGAGTGCTGATCCTGTGCTCAGATTCTCAAGTCTTTCTCTCTGCCAGAAACCAATTAGCATTCTCAGAAAATATTTTCAGATTAGTACCTTCTGGCTTACCTGAGATACAGTGTTCAATACATCTTTCTCACATTGCTATTTACTATTGAATTGATACTCCATTAATAAAGTCATAGTGAAGGAAATTTGATAATTATATAATTGAGCCAATAGTAATTTGGATCTTCCCCAATTCTAACAAATTCTTCTGTATTTTTACTTTAAGCTTATTTTAAATTTCTTTGTTTCTGTCATTGGTCAGGATAACTTTTCACTATTTTCTTAAAAAGTAATTTAAAACATGTAGAAGAAGTCTGATTATTTATAAAAGAGTGCCTGGACTAATTACTACAGGAACAGGTTCCAGGAAACAGGAAAATGAGGCATTTCATCATCACTATAAAATTATAAGACCATTGCTCTCATCCCTTGAATGAAGTTATGTTGCTTTATAGTGGCTAACTGTAGGTTATTTTTCTGCTGTGTACTAGCCAAATGTCAAGAACTTGGTTTTCTGCAGCAGTCTTTCTGCCACATGTCCACCATGGGTAGAGTGTAAGCTTCCTGGTGCACTGACTTCATGAGATATCTAGCTCCTGGAAACACACATGGGTACCTTCTTTTTTGGAGGATGTTTTTCGTGACAGTAAATTAAAATGTTCAGTACACTGGTGCTTTATGATTGAAACTCACCATTAACCAATAAACAGGATAGTTCTATGTTGTAGTTACTGAACCTTTACAAACAATTTTATAGCAATTTTGGGTTACTTTCTAGTCAACTGGGGTGTCTTTCAAGTACTGCAGGCTTATCAACCTAATCAGAAGTCTCAGTGAATGCAGGACTTCAGGTGCCAGAGATCCCACTAATTAGTTTATGCTGCCTCCTGGTAACAAGATCCTGGAGAGTGTTTTAATTGTCAGGTTGGGTTTTTCCATTTTAATTTAATCTCAAAACAGTGCTCTTTATCCTCCTGTCATTTTATAAATGGTAATGATCTATTACTAGTCAGCTCACCAGACTGCTGTAGACTGCTATCTATTCTACAGCAGTCCATTGTTCTTTGGAAGGTTCATGTTAGTTTATCTAGGGGTGTGTGTGTAGGCACTTCAGACTGAATATCAAGAAATGCATCTTATATTCAAAGCAATTTTATATTTTTCACACTTGGTATAATACTATGTCTCTAAATTTCCTCTGTGTAATTGACAACTTTGGTGAATTTACATTTGAAAGCCAAGCAAAGTTGTATGGGAAAAAAACACCATAATAATTACATTACCTTTCTTGTTGAATTCGTTTGAACCTATGTAAGTGGGGATGAAGTACATTTTTATATTTTGTCCCCTCTTTTCTGCAGATAATGCTTTTTTTTTTTCTGTTGTACTTCTCCCTACCTCACAGCCCATCTCCTTCCCAAGTTTTCCTTTCTCTTTCCCTCAGTGGGATGATGGTGTCACTGTCTAGCATTCCTGTTGTTTCTCCCTGTTTATAGCTATCTTAATGATTTGGACCGCATAGCAGATTCCACCTATCTGCCAACCCAGCAGGATGTGCTCAGAGTTCGAGTCCCAACAACAGGGATCATTGAATATCCATTTGATCTACAAAGCGTCATTTTCAGGTAGGAAAAAAAATGTTAGCACCCACTTACTTGTTTCTTTTGTTTCCTTTTACATTAGCAATGCCAAGCAATGATACTGGTTTAAAGTACATAAAAAGCAATTATTCTATTTCTAAAATTTGGGCTTGGTCAATTTATCTTCATGTAATTGTCCACATATATTTAGGAGCTCATGTTGAAGATGTCAGAAGGATCAAAGACAGTTAGGTTTATTATTTTTGAGAGTCGTTTTTACTGATAGAAAATCTGCAATTCATCTTTTCAGTAATATATATATCAAAGTTTCACAGTGCATAATAATCTGAAAACATACAATCGTTTGTCCTTGTCATAAAAATTATGGAGTAAAAAGTTGCTATTTGTGTAGGTGACTTCTAGAGAGATATCACCCTACTTTAGTGCTAGTACAGTTGTTTAAAAAATAACTATGGAATTGTAATTACAAGTTAGACACCCATGTTTACACTGAGACGTGGGATGAAGTGGGAATACTCTGCAAGCAAACATGAGTTTTGATTTTGGCTGTCAAAACCTTTAGTAGATGCACATTGTTTTCTGTTTCTGTGCTTAAAATGGGGCAGCTTTAACAAGTTGTGGATTTTGATTCTGATATGTGAGGCAGAAAGGTGGTCCACTGTCTGTTTTGTTTGTATCCGTTGCCGAATACATGTGGCGTACATTGCCAAATTATTGCTTATGAGACTTTTATATCTCATAATTCTGAGGGGTTTGAGACTCAAAATTGTTCAAATACAGAAAATCCATCAAACTTAAAGTAAACATGATTGTCTGCTTAGAACAGATGCTATTAAATATCAGTGGAAAAAATCATTAAGAAAACCAAAGCAATTTGTGTTTTTAGCTAAATCCTAGAATTTTGTTGTGTTTGTGGTTGGGGTTTTTCTGTTAAGGTGTTCATGGAATTGATGTGGTTGTTGATTTTGCAGAATGGTTGATGTAGGAGGCCAACGATCAGAAAGAAGAAAATGGATACATTGCTTTGAAAATGTCACATCTATCATGTTCCTAGTAGCTCTTAGTGAATATGATCAAGTGCTTGTGGAGTCAGATAATGAGGTAAGGAATTGTCAATAAAACTCATGAGTTAAAAAAAAAAAGCGGTTTTGCCAATCCAGTCCCAGGTGTTTCCTGAATGTATCTACAAGCAGTTAGGCACAACTGGTTCCCAGTGCCAGTGAGAAGCACTTTAGGTGTCAAAGGGGAGGAAGGGCTCAATCTTCAAGTAGGGCTAAGTGGATCCATATGGATCCAAAGAAGTCTCTATGTTGTTTTGAGGAGGAATATAGTTGAATATGTTTGTTCAGTTACTGTTATTTACACCACAATAATAGGTGTTGTAAATCAAGACAAAATGTATAGATTCCAAAGGAACAGAGTCTAGGGTAGTAAACTTCATTCCTGTGACTTAAAGCCCAAGGTGCATATTGTATTTTTATTTTAAAAAAAAAAACAATAAGAGAAGTAAGCAAGTGGGTGGGCTGAGGGTTCAAAGCACACTATCCATTATTTTGAATGCAGTTTCAAATGAAGACTAAGGATGATTTTTTTTTTATGGGGAGAGTATTTTGCCTCTCCTGAGGGCTAAAAAGTTGCTTATCAAACTTTTATGAATTTTGCTCATTAGCACTGCCCTGTGCAAATCTTTCAGCACATACATAAAAAAGTTAGATGAAAAAATGAAAACATTTGAAAATACCTTCTTCATGGCTGTATACAAGTTGTACTGTTTAAGAAAGTGCTTGATGTAAAGTAAAATAGGTGTCCCTGGACAATCACATTTTGTATTTTGAACTTTTTTTATGATTATTTTTTTTTAAAAACTTGGAGCTCTGGAAACATTTACATTTGTAGTGTTTTCATAAAACAGAGTTATTGTTATGTTAATTGAATAATTGTCTGTGTCATTCAAAACTGAATTTCCAGAAATTATGGTGTAGTCCGCACCAGCTTCATCTCCTGTAATTTTGGAAGCTAGACATGAATAGTTAAGAAAGATAAATCTGTCAGACTTGGTTTGTTTCAAGTCAAACTGGAAATGTCTGGTTCTGTCTTCTTCTGTTTGCATTATTCTTTTGTAGCCACAAAGTAAACACACAAATACTAAGCATTTTAATTACACAAATCAAAGTAAATTTATTGGAAATTGCATAAATTAGTTAGTTACGATAGAATTAGTTACGATAATTTTCAAATATTATTCTAACTATTTTGAGTAGTTAGACTATTCAAAAAAGAATATTCAAAATAAGCTTCATGGAAGTCAAAACCTTCTTGCAGGTGGTTTTTAAACCTCACTACTAAACTATTCATGTTTCTTTTTAACAACAGAGGAAAACATCTGAACCTTTTGACTTCTAGTTTAAAATATATTCCTGAGTTAAATTCAAACCAGGTTTTGTTTTCAAGTTGTATATGCGTACCTAGTCTAGTCGGCTTTCCAGCACACTTAGGCCTGTGTTACTCTAACTCTGGAAAGGGTCCAGACAGTTTTAGAGCTGAGCATCAATCTGGGCAAGTTAAGTTTTGGCTTTCAGCAAACTTGTAGCCTGTCTATATTTTCATCATATGCCGGGACACTGCCTTCTTCCCTTTTTCTCTCCCCTGTATCTCTAAACATTGCAGTCCCAGAATTAATGGAAAAATATGTTTATTTATTCCATTTAAAGCAAAGCATAGTTTGTCTGAATGTGCATATGGCAGAAATACGGCTTTAAATGTGTTTATTGACACCTTGATTTAAGAAATTCAACCCGCAAAGATATTTTTGTTCTTCACTGATGTGTCACAACCTCAGGAGGGAAGACAGTGATTTAACTTGAAGATTTTGGTAACCAGCCAAGAGATACTTTTCACACATAGCTTTAAATTGTGGAACAGTATTGAAAGTTTAGCACCAAAGTGAAGGGAGTGTGTATGAATGCTCTACTTTCTTAATATATGTGCCATCAGTGTGATACTAGGATAGAATCTAATCATTCCTTGGTCTGCGTGCCTCATACTGAAATTAAAATATCGGACTTGACAATTTACAGTGTTCTGCTATTTCCTTTTCATTGCTTTCATGGCCTGATTAAACTATGATTTTTGAAAGGTGGCCTGCTTTCTTTTTCTAATTAGTCCACTGCATATTGCCTGAAGTCTCATTTCCTGTAGTACATTTTTACGAAGAAAAGTGTAGTGTTTAATCATTTGTGTCATCCTTTTTAGCTGATACAGTTTTTCATTAATACAATTTTCATAACTAAATACAAACCTTAAAAAAGTACTATTTTCTATTTGGGAGGGTAGTGGGGGGTGGTGGTTATATGACTTTCCTCATTAGGAAATAAAGACTCCTGATTTTTATTTCAAAATGTAGTGCCTGATGGATGGTTAATTGTAAATGTGTTTCTTTCCTTGCTCACTATATTCAAGAGAAATACATTTGGATTATAAATCAGATAAGGTTACATTTAGTTGGGAGCCTTTGTTAGTGTCTCTGGCAGGATATAAGTGAGGTGGAGCTGGGAACTGTTTCTATTTTCATTCCATTTAAGGAGTTAAGAATTAAAAGTTCAGAGGAATATAACTGTTGTATACACAAGACATACACAGAAAATAAGACAAGGGTTATTCAGCCTGTTATTCAGAGGCATATGCAGCATGACTTGTGAATTTTGCATTCATGAAATTGCACTCCCATGACAAATATCTGAAGAGTTGGGAGTTTCAGTCCTGAAGATAAGCACAGCTGGCTGTCCCACTGCATTTTAGCTATGATTTCTCTAACAGGCGATACTCAGACCCAATGGCATCTCTTTTAAGTGTGCATCTAGATTATATATAACTTGATATTGGTGCATAAATAAAAAACAGGAGGAGTCGGTAAGGATGGTATATTTTAACACATCCTGCAAAAATTTCAGTTCATGTACAGTCATGAAATACTTAAACACAAAGGAGAGATAGGAGAGATAGTTAACTGTTCCAGATTCTGCTCTTAATAAAATCTAAAGTCTGTCTAGGAAAATGAGGACAAAATTTGAACCAGAGGACATAATATACTAATTACATTAATAGTTCTGTAAATTAAGTAAATATTGCATCAGTCTGATCTGATGTGACAAAGGACAACATGTTATAAATTTAATTATTAATGTTTGACCTTTTCAGTTTTTCAGAAAACTCCAGTAGGATTAGAGGTGAGATAAAAAATGAAGGAATCATTTCTCTTTTAAATGGATTTATGATATGTCTCGTGGGTCACACTCTGGCTCTGAATTATGCTAGCAAATTTGGAGAAACTGGCAATTTTATCAAATGGTAAAGCTTAGAACTTTCTCTGTGTTTAAAATCAACTTATTTTTTTAAATAAAGCATTTTTTTTCTAGATTTCCAGGATATGCTATATTTGAATATGTATTAGAGGTAGCTCCTTTCAACATATCAAATCTCAGCATCTCAGTGCAATAGTTAGGAAAATGAGTTCCAGCTTTGTAAGAGAATCATAGCCACTTGCAGTTATGCAAGAACTAGAGACGTAACAGTATATCTGTAAAATAGAGTTCCATAAAAAAGTGGTTTTCATTATCTTTGCACAGCTAGGTAAATACTTAGCAAAATAGAGAAGAGTACTTATTGAAGCTTGTACATATTTATTAGTGCACTAGAAGTCTTAAGGTCTGTAAGATTTCATATAGTTTGTATAGTTCTGTGGTGGTTATGTATATGTTTTTATTTTTCTAGGGTTCTCAGAGCAAAACCAGAAAAGACAGAATACAATTTCTTCAGTTCATCTAAATTAATTTCATTAATAGGCTAAGTGAAAATTAGACATTTTCTAAACTATCAAAAAGTAAATGCAGTCTTTCCTGAGGTATTTTCAGAGGCTGCAAAGCAACAGAGGCATTGGACAGCATGAAGTATGCATTGATAAAAGATGATTTTTATATGAAAGTCATTATGAGTATTCTGAACATTGCACAACATATTTTGGGGGAAAATGCCAGTTTAGATTATTCTCATCAGAATACATTTTGGTTAAATTGTAAAATGTCAAATTCTAACAGGATTGGAGGTAAATTGTGAACCTCCTCGGTAAGAGGAAATTGTTGCTAAGTAGAGTGCTGTACCTTTGAAAAAATACCTTTTGTTTTAAAGCCCTTTTTAAAGTTTGTACTGTGTCTTAAGAAATTACATTTGATTTAGCTGCAGCCAAAATTGGTAATTTTAACATTATAATGACATGGAATTTCTCTTAAAACAGGAGCACCTTCCCTTTTTATCATCAAAATGTCACTCAGTTTTCATTAAAGTTTTATTAAAAGTACCATCTGCTTATAATCATGTATATACAGGTTTGATCCCAGATTACAGCTCTTGTAGAAAAGGATTGTAATGTATGAAGCAGGCAGGAATGGCTTAAGAATTGTGAGATTTTAACTTAATAGGAAAATTGATTTTTTTGGCTTAAGAAATCATAGACACCTTACCCTATAGGTCTTTTCCAGCTTAAACCATTCTGTGATTCTGTGCCTTCAAACTGTGTCTAATACTGCTTCCTGCTTGTTCTTCTTTCATACATACAAAAGTGTTTTCCAGGATGTCTCTTCTGAGAGCTTGAAAAATGCCATAATGCTCAATGTCATTTGCTCAAAATCAGTTTTTTAATAGACATTAAAAAAAAATGATGGCATAATTTCCCCATCTTTCGTCCACTGGCTTTCACTGCCTTACTATATGGTTTGTCAGCTTTAAGGACCTGCATCATCTAACCTGGTGTGATAACCAGATTGAATCTTTTTTGTTCCAGTCTTGATCAGTCCCTTTTGAAATACTCTAAAATAGATTTTTGCATGAGGTACAATTCTCTTCATTCTGAACTGAAGGAGTTCCTCAGAAGCTTGTCTAAACCTGCTCCATTGTGCTGCAGTGTGACATACAGTGGTGTAGCAGCCAGATGTGTGAAGACTGCTGCTTGCACTTGTTGAGAATTCTGCTGCTGTGATTTTATACTTTCTCATTCTGTGTTCAGCATCCCATAGTCTTTCAGCTTTTTCTCTGGAGTTTACAGACTT